ACCCCCCCACCCTCCCCTGGCAGCTTCTCACCCTTTTGTTTTCATGTGACGGAACATCTCTGCAAATTCTTGCTGGAAATTGGATCCATGAACGGGGGAGGAGGAGGAGTGATCTCTCCCTGTGTGTGTGTGTGTGTGTGTGTGTGTGTGGATGATTACCTGAAGGTCTGTGTGCCCCACCTTTACTCTGAGGGAGGGGCACGGGGAGAAGGAGCAGCAGGAGGGGTCTGAAATGGAAGGTATGAGTAAGGGGTGCAGGTTTCTCTTGCTCTTGCCCAACCTGGTTATGTGAGGTGAAAACAATCCTCTCTCCCGTTGGCTCCACCAGCTTCGCCTCTCTTCCTCATCCCGAGCTCTTCCTGTTGTCTCGTCCCGGCGGAGACATGGACACATCGTCAGGATAGTGGGGGAGCACGGCTGAAACGGTGAACTTCAAATTAAAGACTTCACACTCACATCCCAGAGGATAAAAAGGTAAGTGGCTGTTTTCTCGTCGAGGGCTGGGACTCCATGCACCTTTAATACTTTAAGTCAAAGTCAGTGATACAGATATTTTCTTTATGTCTTTGGAATTGTAGCAGCTATTTTAATAAGACAACGATCACATCCGGAGCCTCAAATCCTCCCTTCTCTTATTTTAAAGCCTAAAATGAAGAGCAGCCATTGTTTCTCTCTCTACTCTCTTCTCAACAAGGAGAGTTTTTTCAAACCTGGTTCATTTTTAAAACCTACAGAAGTTCGTCTCTGAATCTCCGAGGCCAAAACAAAGGCTCTGTCAGAGACTAGAGGAAGTGACACTCGACTATCAGGGCTGAACATCTGTATCCGTCACATCCAATCTGCTCATGTGAACTTTAATCTAGCAGCTTTCTCGTTCTGTCCCTTCAACTACATGCTGCACTTTTCTTCTCCTCCATTCAGTGTCTTGGCTCACACCCTCCTCCGCCTTGTTCTGACATGTTTACACACTCGCTCCTCCTGTTCTCTGCACCGTCGCTGTCAAACCTCTTTTTTATTTTTCCACACTCTGACCTCCCGTGTTCTCACACAGCGTTTAGGTGAAACTTGTACTTTAGTATTTTGTGCTATTTTTGTTTCAGGCGTACAAACCACCTGCCACATCAGAGGAGGGTTTAGAGGAAGGACTGAATCCCTGCGTGGATTACTGAGATGAACATGGCCTTTTTATCTGTGGAGCACAAATCCCTTCTCTCGCTCCTCCTCCTCCTCTATCTCACCTGTCTGAGCCAGTCGACCAACAGCAGCTCAACCGGTCCCTCGATCAACACCACAACCTCTACTTCCTCAAACGCCACCCTCCTGAAGGGCGTGCCGGGCTGCGGCAAAGGGCTGCACCCCATCTACAGGTACCTGTGTGACCGCCGGGCAGCATGGGGGATCGTGCTGGAGACCCTGGCCTCCGCGGGCTTCCTCTTCAGCATGGGCCTCCTGCTTGGCCTGCTGCTCTGGTCCCTCTGCCTCTGCGTCTCATCTAAAACTAGGCGCAGCAGCATCGGAGGCACAGTGGCCTGCATGTCCATGTTCTTGTTCGCCACGGCCGGGATCTTCGGCCTGACCTTCGCCTTCATCATCCGTCTCACGGCTCAGACCTGCCCCACCAGGATCTTCCTCTTCAGCGTGCTCTTCGCTCTGGCGTTCTCCTGCCTGCTGGCTCGCTGTCTCGCCCTGCTGGGCTTCGCGGCGACCCGGGGCTGGGGGGAGCCCGCCGTGGCCCTGGGGCTCTTCACCGTGCAGGTCATCATCTCCACGCAGTGGCTGATCCTCGTGTTGGTGCGGGACAAGAGGCCGTGCGAGTACAGCCAGGAGGAGTTTGTCATGCTGCAGATCTACGTGCTGTGCCTCCTGGCCATCAGCATCATCCTCTCCATGCACTTCCTGTGCCGCTCCTGCTCCACGTACAGCTACAGCTACACCGGACCCACGAACCAGCAGGGGAGACAACAGGCCGCCATGGTCGTCCTCACCCTGCTGCTGTCCGCCTGCGTCTGGGTGGTGTGGATCACTATGCTCACCAGAGGAAACCCTAAGTTGGGCCGCCGGCCTCAATGGGACGACCCACTGCTGAGCATCGTGCTGGTGGCCAACGGTTGGGTGTTGCTGATGGGACACGGGTTGTCCCAGGTTTCCTTCCTCTGCAGGGGCGAGGCAAACTCCAAGGACGTCCCTCTGAGCTTCGCCGGCTGGACCAGCCAGAGCGCCGACATCCCAGGGCTGAGGAGTCCGAAGGAGGGAAGAGAAAACGGAAGCTTTGAGACGGAAGCAGAGAACAGGAGAGGTAAGAGGAAGAATCAAGAATTTAAAACCACAAAACTTTACTCAGGAGCAAAAATCAAAAACTTCATCATCATCAATATCCACTGATGTGTATTTATATTTAAACAGTTTGGCAAAAACATCTCGAATGATTAGTCGCAGTTGATTGATTTTGTGTTAATCGATGAATCATTTATCATCATCTAACCATAAATATCAGAATAGCTATGAACCATCGAATCCATCTTTTCTCTCCAGAGTAAACGACGTTTAAGTGAGATTATGAAACTGCCGACACTCAAAGATATCAGGTCTCTTAATGTGCTTGAGTTCAAAAACCAAACAAAGAAACTTTATCGTGGCTGACGATGGTCGAACAAATCCACATTAACACACAACCTGAAGAATCCGTGTCCAACACGAAGAGAGAGTTTGTTGATCGCCCGGCTCGGCCCTCTGTGATGAATCGTCTGTGATGAATCGTCTGTGATGAACTGTCTGTATCATGTGTCTCCTCCCCTCAGGCAGGAGAACCGACCCGTCGCTGCGCTCCCCCTACGAGTCTGGATTCTCCATGACAGTGAGTAATAAACCACCAGGATCCACAATGTGCCTCCACACGCTCTGCAATTAGGCTCCGTGACCTTTTCACCACTGGAGACAATTATAGCCGCGTTGCTCTGAGAGGTTAACGAACGCACCATTTGTCACGGAGCTGCAGTAAAGTGATAATGTGTGTGTCTGTGTGTTACAGGATATCGACCCCGACAAAGATTACACAATCCCTCGCCCCGAGACCAACTGCAGCGAACCCTTCGACGAATATTACCAAGATTAAACGACTCGGCACAAACGTTTTCTCGTGCGAATGTAGATATTTCTGAGTCGTGTCATTAGAAATGTTATTTCAAACTCGGCAGCGCGTGATTCATCCCAGTTTCTTCACCGAGGGTCAGATGGGGTCAGATTGTCTCAGATTGTTACTGGCGGGAAATCCACATCACAGAAACTTAGCAGAAGTGAGTCTTTATGATGTGAGCCCGTCTGAGATGGTGATATTTATAT